GTCTTACCCGGATCGTCACGTGTTACAATAAAAAGAGGAACTTTATTCATATTTACAGACAATTGTAGAAGTAAGTGGAATTTATACATCATTGCCTCTGACAGAAAACTTAAAGAAGGCTTTTTCAGTATTTTTCAACATTGTAAACCACCTCCCAACACGATAGGATTCAATCCTTATTTCATGGGGCATTTTTACTGAACGTGGTGATCATACATATAAACTGACCGGCAAAAGAAAGTATACACTTGAAAATTTGATTCTACCAACAAAAGTTATCCAAGGTTGCGAGGCTGAAAACAACCACCGACACAGAGTTCAAAAAGCAGCGTCATGCATCCCATCCGGGAAAGACGTTTAACTTACGTTTCATATCGATGACCTGCAATTGTTCAATACACGTCAAACAGCTAATTACATGCCATTGATGTATCCACAGGAAATGAACCATAAGAAACCAGTGACACAACCTGTTCCACACTCAGATCCATGTCATATTGCAAAGAGACACAAACTACATAACTGACTGTATGATAGAAGGGAGGACTACAAATTTACACCAATAATATTTCCCTTGTTTATCGAACATATTTGTCAGGAATGGTGGTCTGGTGTCTTGAGAAGCAATCCTGTGATTGACATCGTGAGTATCCATATTTGCAGCTGGAATATGTGACATGCAGCAACCACGTGAGGAAGCCTGACCACCGATCCTGGTAGTACAGTTACAATCATGAGTTCCGGATGATCAATCCTGCTCTGGGTCTAATGGATCTGTCTGTAAACATGCATACATACCATGTAACTTCTTTAAGTGACATTTAGAAGCTTGGAAGTACAACATTGACTTCTTTTATTTCGTGAGTGCGAAATTTTGATTACAGATTCTTGTACCGTTGTTAAGCAGTAATGTAACATGATGTGGAGGAGATGTGTATATACTGAGTGTAACAAATAAAACAACATGGCTAACATAATTGGCTAAGCAGGAAGCTGATAAACCAGTGAGTTGACAAAGGGAACGGAGTGAGAGCCAGAGATGCACAAATAGGTAGTTTAAAAAGGAGGAGATGTTTATGCAATAGTTTGGGCATGGTGGAGGAGTGCATCATAAGCAGACGGAATGAAATATCCTTGTTCTCGGTTGATTTGGGGCTTTTGGCGTGAATGCGGGCAAGGTAGTATCTATGTCTGCTTGCTGTTTTAGGAGTTAATTTGATGTGATGGTTTACCAATGTAGGGAGTGGGTATTTTCATGAGTGCTGAATCTGGTTTATGTCTTTTGGAGGAATGTGGCAGCAATGCGTATGGTTCTGTTAACTATTTGGGATGGATGGTGGGTTAGTTCTCCAAACACTTTCTTCAGGTGTACAATTCTTCTTTTAGATTTGTCGGGCAGATGTTCTTCGCTCTTCTGTTAACGAAGAGATGACGCCGGTCTTAACGTTGGAAGGATGGTTGGAGTACTGATTCGCATGGGTAGGTTTTCTGTATACAGACCTGTAGGTTTGAGGGGGTACGGGACACAATACAGAGACGATTTGTAATAATTGTACTCTCTGTAATCAGTGGAGGAAATAAATACCATACATACATTCATTCATTTATACATCCCCTCCACTTTGTGTTACATACTGTTTGACAACGGTTCAAGAATCTGTATTGAGGCGACGAACTCACGAAATAAAAGAAGGTGTTATCCCTAAAGTTTGTCAGTATTGCATCCTACTAGCCTGAGATTGCCCGTTCCGCTTGTATCACCTGCGTTCACGCTCCGCTAGCTGCTAGCTGCTAGAGTCCATAGTGTCAAATGACTTATTTAGTAACCAAAGGATTTTAACCATACTGCTATACCGTGAATATATTTCAGTCAAGTATTACTCGAATGGAACATGAGACAAAAAAGCTCTGTCCCTTTATTTGAAATCATAACAGACATGAATATTTTACGATGTATTCACATTGCTAAACTATACAGGGAGAGCTGTTACCTGCGTAGAGCATACCGAAGTTACTGTCACATGCTTGTCTGTTCAAAGATATTATCTTAAATATCATGTCTGGTATCGAGACACGCTAATATGCCAGGGTGCCGTTAGCGTCCCTTCGCAGCGTCATGATTCGATGACCGTAGGTTCGAATCTAAGATTAACAATAACAACCTCCTTAGATTGTTGAAATCACAGGGGTTCGAATCACTGTTTGGACAATAATTTTTATAAATAAAATCTAGACTTTTGCAAGCATATATTGTTTTTATATGTTATGATTAACATATGTTTCAAATTTTATCGAAATCGGTAAAGAAATGGAGATTTTAGAAAATTATACCGCTACATCATTATAACAGAATACACAATTGGTGACACAAACCTGATCGAAAACCGTGTAACCTGACTATTATAACGTTTCTTTCGATGAAACCTTGCGTTTTTCACAAAAAATGTGTTGAGCCTGTTGGTCATTCTTTTACCTTTCTGCTCATCGTATTCAATTTGTCTAACTGTATTTCATATTTGACCACTGACCATCGAATTAGCACTACCCCCTGCCTTTAACAAACATTTGCCAGTCTTAGGTGAACAGGAAACGGCACTCATTGGTAAATTTCCAAGTAATTTTCATATTTCCCCCATAATTGCACACACTCAATATTTCTAAACGTTTGTGATTTATTCACGATCTCGTTGGAATATTTTCCATATTCCACACCCACTCGTTTTGTAATCTCCATATATCTGAACTGAAACAACATTTATGATCGGTACTTCACTCTACATGAAATGAAACTGAAACAAAGGATATTGATCCTGAGACAGATACAAGTTGGTCTTACAGGTCCACAGTGAATAGCTGCTGCGTACTTTCGCTTCCGAATTGAAAGTGTGACGTGGTTTTAGGCAACTTTCAGTGACTATCATGACTTTTTTACACCTCACCTTGGCAAATGAAATATAGGCAAAGTAGAAAGTGTAACAAAGTGGACCCGACACGCCCACTGATTATCTTTATGTTGTTTCTGGTAAGTAGAAGCTTTGAAACTGAAACCGTGTTATTTAGATACCTGATTATAAGTCCCTGGGACACAGGAACGTTGACTTGTAGAAGAGCAGTCAGTGTGGTTGTGTATGCATTATGGTTTCACTACTCAGTTGTGTCATTACCAAGCAAGTGTTCACGTTCATCCACGATGTACTGTATTGGAATCGAGTCCTCTGATGAAACAGAAGCTGTCGTTACCAAGGACATGATAATGATGTTGTTTCTGTATGTGTAATTAAATGCATGATATATAGTATGACCAGAAATTATTGATAATTTTAGGAATATGTTTCATTGGATTTCTAGTATAAACAACCTTGACCAGCTATCAAGTACTTGGTTTCATTCAAGAGAGACAACTCCGTTAATCCTTTTTCATTAGTTTGTGAAGAGTTACCCCCCTTTGTTTACTTGCTAGCAGACGACATTTTCACTGATCCTCAGTATGGATGATTTAGAGAAGAGGAAGTTGATTTTAGAGTATTATAACAAGGACATCAGATCAGCTAAAGTGATTTCAAGTAGAACAGGCATCCCTATGTCCACTGTTTATCGTGTTTTGAAAACTAGTGCAAATGGATATGGCATTGAGCACCAGGGAGGCGCAGGTAGGCCCAGAAAATTGACTGTCGGTGACAGGAGGCGGCTTGGTATTCATGTTTCTAAAAAACAAACGAAGGAGTTTAGAAAACTTAAGGCTGGATATGATTGATAGAGGAACTGTGGCTGTCTGTAAGGAGACAATTGGAACTGAGCTGCATGCAATGGGTTGGCAGAAAAGTCGAGGAATTCCATCACCGATCATGAAACCTGAACAAAAGGAGCGAAGGTTGAACTGGTCCTTACAGCATAGAAATTGTAACTGGGACAATGTGATTTTCTCAGATGAAAGTTCTGTGTGGCTGTTTCCTAATACACTGAAATTCTGGACCAAACAAACTGAAAAACCTTTGTATCAGCGCCCAGAGTACAGTCCGAAATTTAACTTGTGGGGTGGCATATCTGTGTTAGGGGCAACGCCCCTCTGTGTATTTGAAGGGAATATGAACAGTGAGCGGTACACAGATATTCTCGAGGGACATTTACTTCCATCTGCTCACTTGTTCTATGGAAATGTTTGGATTTTCCAGCAGGACAGCGACCCCAAACATCGTTCAAAGCATTCACAGGCCTGGTTTCGGACCCAAAATATGACATTCTTAGATTGGCCAAGCTATAGCCCTGACCTAAATGCAACAGAAAATGTTTGGGGACTTATGTAGGAAAGTGTCAATACGAAAAATCTGACAAATATTGCTGAAATGAAAGAAGAGGTGGTCCGATATTCGGACAGCATGGGCCACGACTTTCTAACTTCTTTGATCAGTAGTATGCCCCGCCGCATTGCTTCCTGCATTGCTGCCCATGGTGACTAGACAAAATACTAACTGTTCACCTGTCTTTGAATCTAGAGTTATGTTCTGCTAATATTCACATTTAATACGTGAGTAATGAATGAAAAAAAAATATAAATACAATCTTTAAATTCTCAATAATTTCTGGTTGTACTGTATATATTACAATGCCTGCAGTCGTCAATACTCCATGACATCGTGTAGTACTATTCCACCCAGAATAACAGAGCACAACCCGCATGTTGTGTAAGGGATACTCAAATATTCTTGCTATAACCATGTACCGTGTGTAAGGTTGTTTTCAACCATCCAAACAGTGCTTATACACAATTTATGATGATGATATACTCTCTTGCAAATGGAAAGTAGCTTATTGAGCTGATATTCAAATGCAGTTAAGGTTGCACTTGTGTAGTTATCGAGTCGTCAGGAGATCTACAATGAACCTATGGGACTAGCATGGGATGAATAAATAAATAAATATCTCTAATGAACGTCAATATTCTGGTGGCACTGACACCGACCAGTGATCACAGTAATCGATAACTTGAACACACGAGAAAGTCGAGTCACAGATCACATTGATGACAGGACAATCGACAGTGTGCTATCACGTGGATCTCTGGTCGGGACATTCTGATCTCCAACAACAGAACACCGACATCGCTGTTGAACGTCTTCAACAACCTTGCTTTCATCCAGAAGTGGATGAATTGGTGACCCACCCGGACTTTGTGTATCACGAATTTGCTTTTATGAAGTGTTGTGATTATTATTGATCAGTCCCCATGTACCTTGAATCCAGTGTGTGTGGGTGGAAATTGGGTGTTATATTTGGGTGATCATCTCCAGAACATCAAATCAGGAAGAACTTGGGACTGATCATCATGAAGGACAGCTTCAAGGAAGAAGCTAAGCACTTTTCGAACAACTGGTCAGGGCATGGCGTCAATCGCATCGCTATATCCAATAACATCATTAAGAAAGTGTTCTATACAGCTGTTTTTCTCACGTGTGCTGTGCTATGTGGCTATCAGATACGAGCGTTGTTCACCAAATACTACTCCTACCCCGTCAACACAATGATAGAGGTAAGTGCAGTTTCCACTTTTCCAGCAGTATAGATTTCCTAGAACAAGCTTTACAACATTCAAGGATTCAGTAAATCTTTCAAACTGTTTTATGACTTTTCCGATTCAATTGTTTACAGACCCCGTCCGATGGCTGTGATACTGATGAATGTGGCGTCAAACAAATCCATACTCATGATATAGTCAGACTGTACACTCTGCCTTTACCGGAGATTTCGACTTGTTTACAAACATCATCGTACAGCTGTAATACTGCTGAAACATATCCATACTCATGATATAGTCAGACTGTACACTCTGCCTTTACCAGAGATTTCCTTTTGTTTACAAACAACGTCGTACAGCTGTAATACTGCTGAAACAAATATACTATCCCAAAAAAGAAACGCATAGGCCAGAAATCTGTTGCGAAAATGTTGTATTTTCAAACATGTATAGCTCGTCCACAAATAGACTTCAGTACATGAATTCTACATCGGTTTAGAAGAAGGAAATGTCTATACAACCAAGTGGATAATTTTAGATAACGGATACGCTGAGCGCGATGCCGATTTCCGAAAGTAATCTGGATTTTTATAGCCAGACAGTGCATGCTCTTTGCTGCACAATTTCAATTGGAAGGTGATTTCGGTTGCCTTGTGGCGATGCCTTTTTAATCCTTGTAAGAAATGTTATCAAATACAACATGTTCAGGTAAAGTCGGTTTTTTACTTGTGCAATTGTGTAAAATCATGTTATGAACACTTTTGTTACATATTTTGACGATTGTTTGAACACAAAAGGTAATTAATAGTTTTTAAAAAATACAAAACGCCTATGCGTTTCTTTTTTGGGATAGTATATATACTCATGATACACTCACAATTGACTGTTTTTAGCAGAGATTTCTTATGGATGTGGAGTGAGTGAGTGAGTTAGGATTTTAAGTCACATCGGCACTATTTCAGCCATATCGTGACTAAAACAAGTTATATTGTCATAATAAATCTTGGTAAATTATAAAAACCTGTCGGCAAAGGACAGTAAAAATAACTAGAATATCACAGATATAATTGTAAAACTAGCATGAAAATCTAAAATATCTTAACTATGAAAGACAATACAATTTAAAAAACGTGATATAGATCGCCAACAACTGAAGGTAGATCACTATGGATGGTGAAAGGATTTGGTCGTTTCTAGTAAACTGTAGATCGTTACCAAGACGAATACGTTGAACATGCTGTATGGCCTGAATGCATTACGGTAACGTCAGCTGACGTCGAATCAGAAGTACACGAGGAGAGACGATTCAAAAGCATGTTGGATGTTTAAACATTTATGCAATCTGAGTAGTATCTCCAGGTGGATATTGACTGACAAATGGCAGCAGAACGAAACATCACACACATCTTTGAAGTGATGAACTTGAATGATAACCAGACAACGCCCCCGTTCGCGTTGACGTCTGTGCACACGCACCCGACGACCAGCTCATAAACAATCAAAACCTGCTCACATCAGAGAACAGCACTCGCCCCAAGTCTCCCACCTGCCGACCGTGTCCACCCTGTTGTATTGTGGGGTTTATATTGGTCACGATATGGCTGAAATATTGCTGAAGGGACTACTGATCTCACTCACTCTAAAGTGGGGTTTATGTCATTCCACGCTTTGGTTGACATATGCTTGAGCACCATGTTCTCGCGTTGCTGCCGCGACCCACGGACGTGTTGGTAATCAATGGGCATCACCGACCACTCTGCTTTAAACGCCGCGTCTACCTCGTAATGGAAACATGGGTGAAACCGAATGTTCTCAGCATGTGGGCATATGTGACGCCCGCGATGATCATACTAACAGCTCTCCCTCTCGGTAGCTGTTTTAATGAGGCCTTACTTTTTTTATGCCAAACGCATTGTCTCAACATTTTTTGGGTTACAGCTTTGCACCTTAATGGAATTCATTTGTCATTCATCACGAATTTATTTCTTTGTTTAACCGTGTGGAGTAATTAGACAAAATGTATTTCGGTAGACGTTTTCCTCGACAGCAGTCTATATATAACGATCACAAACTGATGCGTTTGAATCAAGTTATCATTCTTACAAACATATATGTATGCTTTTGCTTCATTTGGTGTGTTCGTTTGTTAAACGCTTCCGTTTTTTGACAGCAGCCTGTATATGTAAACTGAGTCTCGACCAGAAAATCTAATGATTGATATTTGTTAACAACGATCCCCTCCTTCGGGGTATTCTCACACACAATAATCCAAGTTACTGAACCTGACAACCACCCAACACACTATGGTTGCTGGAGTTTATCTAACTAGTAATATCCTTGATTCTAGCGGTCGAAACCCAGCAAACAAACAAAAACGTTTAAACTTGAGTTTCGCAGACATTCGATTAGGCAAACTATGTGTCATATATATCTTGATTTATCAATTCAACCATGATTGATTCTCACCAGCAATAATTGCACGGTTTCAAAAACAAGTAACAGTACTTCCCAAATTTTAGGTGCTGCACGCTCCTTTAGAGTTTCCTGCTGTCACCATATGCAACAAGAATATTGTAAAACAATCAAAACTTTCTGAGGGAGGATCGGTCCTGGCGAACATAGTGAATAAAACGGAGGAAGCGTTACACAATGGCGTGATTTATGCAGACGAAAGCGGCAGTGGTTCCGGATATGGAAGTGGTTATGGCAGCGGCAGTGGTTCCGGATATGGGAGTGGTGATAGCAGCGGCAGTGGTTCCGGAAGTGGAAGTGGCAGTGGTTCCGGAAGTGGAAGTGGCGATGGCAGCGGCAGTGGTTCCGGAAGTGGAAGTGGCGATGGTAGCGGCAGTGGTTCCGGAAGTGGAAGTGGCGATGGCAGCGGCAGTGGTTCCGGAAGTGGAAGTGGTAGTGGTTCCGGAAGTGGAAGTGGCAGTGGTGATGGCAGCGGCAGTGGTTCCGGTAGCGGAAGTGGCAGTGACAGTGGCAGTGGTTCCGGAAGTGGAAGCGGCAGTGGATCCGGTAGTGGAAGTGGTTACAATGACTATAGTGGGAGCGGCAGTGGGAATTATTACGACTACAGCGGTGACTACAGCGGCGACTACAGCGGCGACCAACAAACTAACGACCCCTATGACGTGAGTATCATTCGGATTGTAATACAAGCAGTACGATCAATTATTTTACGTTGCTTCCTATGTAACGTATTACTTAAGTGATCTAAAATACTCAAATATGAAATAAACACTAAGTACAAATCAGCACATATATACTTGTGTAGACCAGACTCGCCAACGATTATCAACGTGTCAGGCTTAGTAAACATTGCAGCTTGGCCTGTTGGAGTTGTGTTTTAATTTTTGGTTTCCATGGGACCCTTAAGCAGCAGGGACTAGGGATATGACAGCAGCTACTAGGGATCCTTCAGCAGCTATTAGGAATCCCTAAGGAGCTACTTGGAATCCCTCTGCAACTTCTATGAATTCCTCTGTAGCTTCTAGGAATCCCTCTGCAACTTCTATGAATTCCTCTGTAGCTTCTAGGGATTATTCAGCAGCTACTAGGGATCCCTCTGTAGTTTGTAATGATTATTCAGCAGCAACATGGAATCCCTCTGGAACTTCTAGGGATCCTTCAGCAGCTACTTGGAAGCCTTCTGCAGCTGCTAGGGATCCCTCTGTAGTTTGTAATGATTATTCAGCAGCTACATGGAATCCCTCTTGAACTTCTAGGGATCCTTCAGCAGCTGCTAGGAATCCCTCTGTTGCTTCTAGGAATTCCTCTGTTGCTTCTAGGAATTCCTCTGTAGCTTCCAGGAATCCCTCTGTAGATTCTAGGGATTCCTCTGTAGTTTTTAGGAATTCCTCTGTAGCTTCTAGGGATTCCTTCTGTAGTTTCTAGGAATTCCTCTGTAGCTTCTAGGGATTCCTCTGTAGTTTCTAGGAATTCCTCTGTAGCTTCTAGGGATCCCTTCTGTAGCTTCTAGGAATTCCTCTGTAGCTTCTAGGGATCCCTATGTAGCTTCTGGGGATTAGTCAGCATGTACTGCAGCCCAAGCAAGCACAAAGTTTCTTGAACTGAAGTCCTTCTCTGACTGCACAAATCAACCATCGCTAAAAAAAACCCCAGTTAAAACAACTGAGAGCGAATGACTGACATTGATATGTCGTAAATGGGCGACTTTCTGTTTTGAAGTTTCCAAATTCAGTTACACTTTCCATTAAAGCAACCACAACATCGAAGTACCCGGAACACGCTTCACCATTTTGTATGTATTACCTACACAACATATTATTACAAAATCACCTCAACTCTGCAACAAGTGCACTGCATCACATATATACTCTAGAGGGATCTCTCTTTCATGGTATCACTCCGCTGAACACTCAGCCACATCAATGTAATCAACGCTGTATATATACTCTGGTCAATATCATGTAATTGTTTGGGCTGTATACATTTAGTTTACTCACACACACCCTCACATGGTTCGTGCGGATCAGTGTGTGTCCCAGTGGATCAGGTTGTCAGGATTGACGTGTTGTTACTGTCCCACACTTTATTGCCTCTGCCCACTGATACAATTCACATAGACCCAGTTGGTAGAACGTGTCCCCTGTCTCGTCAAACCCAAAATTCTTTGAAATATGTTTTTTCTGTTACAAATTGCCAGGCGCCATGTAATGGAACCGGTGTCAGTACGCACTATGTGAACAGGCTATATAGCTTCTCGGTAAGCTGGCACTTTATAACCGGCAAGCGTAGTTCACCGGGTCCTGGGAGACGGATGTAAGGGTAGCCGTAGAGTGAAATCCACCTCTTTCATCCCCACAGACCCCCTACATCGTGCCTGCTCTCCGTTAACCCCATAGACCCCCTCCATCGTGACTCCTCCCCGTTTCATCCCCACAGACATCCTCCATCGTGACTCACCCCGTTTCATCCCGACAGACACCGTCCATCGTGACTCACCCCGTTTCATCCCCACAGACATCCTCCATCGTGACTCACCCCGTTTCATCCGGACAGACACCCTCCATCGTGACTCCTCCCGTTAACCCACACACAACCCTCCATCGTGACTCAAGCCGTTTCATCCCCACATACATCCCCCATCGTGCCTGCTCTCCGTTAACCCCCACACAACCCTCCATCGTGACTCCTCCCCTTTAACCCCCACACAACCCTCCATCGTGATCCCTCCCCGCAGACCCCCTCCAAGTGAGTCACACTCTTGCTCCTTCTTGCAGTGTTTTTACTCCATGTGTGTATGTTTGTGCAGAGGAGGAACGTGGGGTCCTTCTATGACTCACCAGAACTGCCATGGCTGGAGGAAGGGAAGGAGACGGGGCAGTCCGTGGCCGCTCATCAGATCAGCATGGCCCTCGTCAAGATGAACATCAGCACCAGACTCACCATGGGCCACCAACTCCGTGAGATGCTGCAGTCGTGCTCCATCAACGGAGAAACCTGCGGCGCCAAGTGAGTAGAATACAATTGATCTAAATTTCAAGAGCCCCTGTTGCTGAGATGATTTGCTTTTTGCAAAGGTTTGGCTTCATTGTTCCTGCGATAGAAAAAAAAGTCCAGGAAACAAGAACTCAATATCCATACAAACCCAAATCCAGCTTGGTTCAATGCTTGAACGTTTACATATGGAACGGTTCCATGTTTACATGTGGTTGTACACATTACCATAGTTATTGTTCGTAACACTGACGATACATGTTGAAAGATGCTCACCTTAAATTGAATGAAGTATAAAACGTCTTTCAGCTATCGTGAATAACAACAATGCTGGGACAACAGCAAGTAGCAACATGTTGTTTTGTGTTTGCCAGGAACTTCACGATGTTCTACAATAATTTATACGGGAACTGTTACACATTCAATGGTTTCAAGACGGCCAAGGGAATACGCTCGTACAAGTCAGGACCTTTGTATGGTAAGCGACTATATGACGGGGTATTATAGCAAAGAGAAACTAAACAGAAGCCCCTATGTCACAGTCCCGAGACACTTGAAGCAGCCGTTTGTCAGCGGCCGATCACAGTCCACTGTCACACATCTTTGTCCCAGCCCATTTTCTCAACCCCATATTGCAGAACTTTACTCCCACTCCATATTAAAGCTCTTTGTCCCAACCCCGTGTTACAGAACTTTGTCCAACCCCGTGTTACAGAATTTTGTCCAACCCATTGTTACAGAACCTTGTCCCAACCGAGTGTTACAGCCCTTTGTCCCAACCCTGTGTTACAGCCCTTTGTCCCAACCCCGTGTTGCAGAACTTTGTCCCAAACCAATTATGCAAAACCTTGTCCCAACCCCGTGTTGCAGAACTTTGTCCCAATCCAGTCTTACAGAACCTTGTCACAACCCAGTGTTACAGAACTTTGTCCCAACCGAGTGATACAGATCTTTGTCCGAACCCCATGTTACAGCCCTTATGTCCCAACCGCATGTTACAGCCCTTTGTCCCAACCCCGCGTTTCAAACCTTTGTCCCAACCCCGTGTTACAGAACCTTGTCCCAACCCCGTGTTACAGAACTTCGTCCCAACTACGTGTCACAGAACTTCGTCCCAACCCATGTTACGGAACCTTGTCCCAACCCCGTGTTACAGTCCTTTGTCCCAACCCCGCGTCAAAGAACTTTGTCCGACCTCGTGTTACATTCATTTGTCCCAACCCCGTGTCACAGAACTTTGTCCCAACCCCGTGTTTTAACCCTTTGTCCCAATCCCGTGTTACAGAACCTTGTCCCAACCCAGTGTTAAGAGAAACCTTGTCCCAACCCCGTGTTACAGAACTTCGTCCCAACTACGTGTTACAGCCCTTATGTCCCAACCGCATGTTACAGCCCTTTGTCCCAACCCCGCGTTTCAAACCTTTGTCCCAACCCCGTGTTACAGAACCTTGTCCCAACCCCGTGTTACAGTCCTTTGTCCCAACCCCGTGTCACAGAACTTTGTCCCAACCCCGTGTTTTAACCCTTTGTCCCAACCCCGTGTTACAGAACCTTGTCCCAACCCAGTGTTACAGCCCTTTGTCCAACCCAATGTTACAGAACTTTGTCCAACCCATTGTTACAGAACCTTGTCCCAACCCGTGTTACAGCCCTTTGTCCCAAACCTGTGTTACAGCCCTTTGTCCCAACCCCGTGTTGCAGAACCTTGTCCCAAACCAATGTTGCAGAACCTTGTCCCAACCCCGTGTCACAGAACTTTGTCCCAACCGAGTGCTACAGATCTTTGTCCGAACCCCAAATTACAGCCCTTTGTCCCAACCCCTGTGTTACAGTCCTTTGTCCCAACCCCGTGTTTCAACCCTTTGTCCCAACCCCGTGTTACAGAACTTCGTCCCAACCCCATGTTACAGAACCTTGTCCCAACCCCGTGTTACAGTCCTTTGTCCCAACCCGGTGTCATGGACCTTTGTCCAACCCTGTGTTACAGAACTATGTCCAACCCATAGTTACAGAACCTTGTCCCAACCCCGTGTTACAGCCCTTCGTCCCAACCCCGTGTTACAGCCCTTCGTCCCAACCCCGTGTTACAGCCCTTTGCCCAACCCAGTGTTGCAGAACTTTGTCCCAAACCAATGTTACAGAACCTTGTCCCAACCCCGTGTTGCAGAACTTTGTCCCAACCCGGTGTTGCATACTTTGTCCCAACCTTGTCACAGAACCTTGTCACAACCCACAGAAATTTGTCGAAACCGAGTGTTACAGATCTTTGTCCAAACCCCAAGTTACAGCCCTTTGTCCAAACCCCATGTTACAGTCCTTTGTCCCAACCCCGTGTTTCAACCCTTTGTCCCAACCCCGTGTTACAGAACCTTGTCACAACCCCGTGTTGCAGAACTTTGTCCCAGTACAGTGATATAGAACCTTGTCACAACCCAGTGTTACAGAAATTTGTCGAAACCGAGTGTTACAGATCTTTGTCCAAACCCCAAGTTACAGCCCTTTGTCCCAACCCCATGTTACAGTCCTTTGTCCCAACCCCGTGTTTCAACCCTTTGTCCCAACCCCTGTTGTCCTTTGTCCCAACCCTGTGTTACAGACCTTGTCCCAACCCCGTGTTACAGAACTTCGTCCCAACCCCGTCTTACAGAACTTCGTCCCAACTACGTGTCATAGAACTATGTCCCAACCACGTGTTACAGAACTTCGTCCCAACCCCATGTTACAGAACCTTGTCCCAACCCCGTGTTACACTCCTTTGTCCCAACCCCGTGTCACAGAGCTTTGTCCCAACCCCATGTTACTGTCCTTTGTCCCAACCCTGTGTCATAGAACCTTGTCTCAACCCCGTGTTACAGTCCTTTGTCCCAACCCCGTGTCACAGAACTTTGTCCAACCCTGTGTTACATTCATTTGTCCCAACCCCATGTCACCAGTTTGTCCCAACCCCGTGTCAGAGAACTTTGTCCCAACCCCGTGTTTTAACCCTTTGTCCCTGCCCCGTGTTACAGAACTTTGTCCAAACCCAGTGTTACAGCCCTTTGTCCAACCCAATGTTACAAAACTTTGTCGAACCCATTGTTACAGAACCTTGTCCAAACCCCGTGTTACAGCCCTTTGTCCCAACCCCGTGTTACAGCCCTTTGTCCCAACCCCGTGTTGCAGAACTTTGTCCCAAACCAATGTTGCAGAACCTTGTCACAACCCCGTGTTGCAGAACTTTGTCCCAGTACAGTGTTACAGAACCTTGTCACAACCCCGTGTTACAGAACTTTGTCCCAACCGAGTGTTACAGATCTTTGTCCAAACCCCATGTTACAGTCCTTTGTCCCAACCCCATATTACAGTCCTTTGTCCCAACCCCGTGTTTCAACCCTTTGTCCCAACCCCGTGTTACAGAACCTTGTCCCAACCCCGTGTTACAGTACTTTGTCCAACCCTGTGTTACAGAACTTTGTACCAAACTACGTGTCACAGAACTATGTCCCAACCACGTGTTACAGAACTTCGTCCCAACCCCATGTTACAGAACCTTGTCCCTAACCCCGTGTTACACTCCTTTGTCCCAACCCCGTGTCAGAGAACTTTGTCCCAAGCCCGTGTTTTAACCCTTTGTCCCTGCCCCGTGTTACAGAACTTTGTCCAAACCCAGTGTTACAGCCCTTTGTCCAACCCAATGTTACAAAACTTTGTCGAACCCATTGTTACAGAACCTTGTCCAAACCCCGTGTTACAGCCCTTTGTCCCAACCCCGTGTTACAGCCCTTTGTCCCAACCCCGTGTTGCAGAACTTTGTCCCAAACCAATGTTGCAGAACCTTGTCACAACCCCGTGTTGCAGAACTTTGTCCCAGTACAGTGTTACAGAACCTTGTCACAACCCCGTGTTACAGAACTTTGTCCCAACCGAGTGTTACAGATCTGTGTCCAAACCCCATGTTACAGTCCTTTGTCCCAACCCCATATTACAGTCCTTTGTCCCAACCCCGTGTTTCAACCCTTTGTCCCAACCCCGTGTTACAGAACCTTGTCCCAAACCCGTGTTACAGTACTTTGTCCAACCCTGTGTTACAGAACTTTGTCCAAACTACGTGTCACAGAACTATGTCCCAACCACGTGTTACAGAACTTCGTCCCAACCCCATGTTACAGAACCTTGTCCCTAACCCCGTGTTACACTCCTTTGTCCCAACCCCGTGTCACAGAGCTTTGTCCCAACCCCATGTTACTGTCCTTTGTCCCAACCCTGTGTCATAGAACCTTGTCCCAACCCCGTGTTACAGAACTTCGTCCCAACTACGTGTCACAGAACTTTGTCCAACCCCGTGTTACATTCATTTGTCCCAACCCCATGTCACACAACTTTGTCCCAACCCCGTGTCACAGAACTTTGTCCCAACCCCGTGTTTTAACCCTTTGTCCCAACCCCGTGTTACAGAACCTTGTCCCAACCCAGTGTGAAAGCCCTTTGTCCCAACCCCGTGTTACAGCCCTTTGTCCCAACCCCGTGTTGCAGAACCTTGTCACAACCCAGTGTTACAGAACTTTGTCCCAACCGAGTGTTACAGATCTTTGTCCGAACCCAAAGTTACAGCCCTTTGTCCCAACCCCATGGTACAACCCTTTGTCCCAACCCCGTGTTTCAACCCTTTGTCCCAACCCCGTGTTACAGAACCTTGTCCCTAACCCCGTGTTACACTCCTTTGTCCCAACCCCGTGTTACAGAGCTTTGTCCCAACCCCATGTTACTGTCCTTTGTCCCAACCCTGTGTCATAGAACCTTGTCCCAACCCCGTGTTACAGAACTTCGTCCCAACTACGTGTCACAGAACTATGTCCCAACCCCGTGTTGCAGAACTTCGTCCCAACCCCATGTTACAGAACCTTGTCCCAACCCCGTGTTACAGTCCTTTGTCCCAACCCCGTGTCACAGAACTTTGTCCAACCCCGTGTTACATTCATTTGTCCCAACCCCATGTCACACAAATTTGTCCCAACCCCGTGTCACAGAACTTTGTCCCAACCCCGTGTTTTAACCCTTTGTCCCAACCCCGTGTTGCAGAACTTTATCCCAAACCAATGTTACAGTACTTTGTCCCAACCCAGTGTTACAGCCCTTTGTCACAGCCCTTTGTCCCAACCCCGTGTTACAGCCCTTTGTCCCAACCCCGTGTTGCAGAACTTTGTCCCAAACCAATGTTACAGAACTTTGTCCCAACCCCGTGTTACAGCCCTTTGTCCCAACCCCGTGTTGCAGAACTTTGTCCCAAACCAATGTTACAGAACTTTGTCCCAACCCCGTGTTACAGCCCTTTGTCCCAACCCCGTGTTGCAGAACCTTGTCACAACCCAGTGTTACAGAACTTTGTCCCAACCAAGTGTTACAGATCTTTGTCCGAACCCCAAGTTACAGCCCTTTGTCCCAACCCCATGGTACAACCCTTTGTCCCAACCCCGTGTTTCAACCCTTTGTCCCAACCCCGTGTTACAGAACTTTGTCCCAAACCTGTGTTACAGAACTTCGTCCCAACTACGTGTCACATAAACTATGTCCCAACCACGTGTTACAGAACTTCGTCCCAACCCCATGTTACAGAACCTTGTCCCAACCCCGTGTTACAGAACTTTGTCCCAACCCTGTGTTTCAACCCTTTGTCCCAACCCCGTGTTACAGAACCTTGTCCCAACCCCATGTTACAGAACTTTGTCCAACCCCGTGTTACAGAACTTTGTCCAGCTCATTGTTACAGAACCTTGTCCCAACCCCGGGTTACAGCCCTTATGTCCCAACCCAGTGTTACAGTCCTTTGTCCCAACCTCGTGTTACAGCCCTTTGTCCCAACCCCGTGTTACAGAACTTCGTCCCAACCCCATGTTACAGAACCTTGTCCAAACCCCGTGTTACAGTCCTTTGTCCAAACCTCGTGTTACAGAATCTTGTCCCAACCCCATGTTACAGAACCTTGTCACAACCCCCGTGTTACAGTCCTTTGTCCAAAACCCGTGTCAAAAAACTTTGTCCCAACCCCGTGTTACAGCCCTTTGTCCCAACCCCGTGTTACAGAACTTCGTCCCAACCCCATGTTACAGAACCTTGTCACAACCCCCGTGTTACAGTCCTTTGTCCAAAACCCGTGTCAAAAATCTTTGTCCCAACCCCGTGTTACAGCCCTTTGTCCCAACCCCGTATTTTGCAGAACTTTGTCCCAACCCCGTGTTGCAGAACTTTGTCCCAACCCCGTGTTGCAGAACTTTGTCCCGACCGCGTGTTGCAGAACTTTGTCCCAACCCAGTGTTGCAGAACTTTGTCCCAACCCAGTGTTGCAGAACCTTGTCCAAACCCAGTGTTACAGATCTTTGTCGAACCCATAGTTACAGCACTTTGTCCAGCCCTGTGTTACAGAACTGTTCCAACTCAGTGTTACAGCCCTTTGTCCTAACCATGTGTTACAGAACTTTGTCCCAACCCAGTGTTACAGAACCTTGTCTCAACCCCATGTTACAGCCCTTTCTCAAGCCCAATGTTATAGAGCTTTGTCCCAACCGAGTTACAGAACTTTGTCCCAACTCAGTGTTATAGAACTTTGTCCCCACCAAATATGTTAATACCCGTTGTGACTGCTGTATATCACAGTCCTATCATGCGCCATATCTCTCTCGTTAAATCTACCTCCACCTCCATTCGCCCGATATCTGACACATATATCCATCTCGTCATTTATGCATGTGATACATATGTGGCTCTGCCTAACAAAGGACCTGTATGCATTCTACCATGACATGTTTCTGAAGATAATGAGTGCTCGACATGGACGAATGAATTACCATCAAACAAACTGCCATTAAAGCAAAGCGTGTCACTGTAAAATTACAAGCAGTGGTATTTCAATGTTTAATTGATAGTTGTGGTAATTTTTAATCACAATATGCCCATTCTCAATAACACAAAAGGAGGCATCTTTCAGTTTCAAACCTCTGATCTATCACAATCGGATGTGTCCAGTCATGCGGAATCATCCAACTTCTACGTTACGAATTGCTTCACTTCCTATGTTTAGCACAAATCAGAGCCGTTTGTTTTGTTTGTAGGGTTGAGTTTGGAGCTGGTGATTGAGCAGGACGAATACATAGGGTCTCTGTCCAGAACAGCTGGAGCAAGGCTGACAATCCATGACCCGTTCCAGTTTCCATTTCCGGAAGACAACGGGATTGACCTTGCCCCGGGAAAGGTCACATCCGTAGGGCTGCGATTGGTGAGCTGAAAGTTTTGGAATTCATTTCATTGCATCTCGTTGTAAGCTGTTATTCCATCAATAACACAATTCATTCTTATCGGCCTTGGGTATGTCAGCGGGTGCTCATGGGTTCACTTACGTTCAAAGCTTCAACTTTCGGTTTGCTCCCTAATAATTAAAACCGCAATCTTTTATTTTTTATTCTGTTTCATCACTGTGTTAAGAGATATGTGGAAAGAAGGTCCGAATGTAATGAAACTCTGAACGCCATGCTATGTCCAGATTATTTATTGCCGAAAGAGGCGGGTGATCAGGCTCGCTGACTTGATTTGACATATGTCAAACGCAAATCAATGCTCATGATGGATTGTCTGGTCCAGACTCTATTATTTATAGTTGGTGGAATATTGCTGGCTGCGGCGTTACACAAACAAACAAACCAGAAATAGATGTATTTATGGCGGTCTAGCCCAAACTCTCTTGTTTCAATGAAAGTAGTTTCAACTGTAACATGCTGTCCATATCATTATGAGTTTACTAGTATATATACTAGCCACATAAAGAAACTGTGCATTGTCAAAATATTATCCCAGTTGATAAGTACGATAACAATGTCAAAGGTCCATATAAACTTTAATGGAGGGATCATGAGACCATAACAAGTCGGGAGAATTTCAATTGAAAAGTCAATCACAATGACGTCACGAGTCCACAAGCGGGACAGGGGTCAAACGACCATGTCACAAGCTCAATAACGGGTATGTCCACCATCGGCATTGAGAACAGCAGTGCATCGACGACGCATAGAGCCTATCAAATGAGCAAGGAAGGCTTGTGGGATGTTACGCCAGATTCTCTCAAGTTCTGTTGCAAGGTCAAGGACGTTATCTGGCGGATGAGGAAGACGGCTTAGACGTCGATCCATCTCGTCCCAAACATGCTCTATCGGGGAGAAATCCGGTGAATTTGCAGGCCAAGGCAGTAAGTCAACGTTGTGACGTGGTGTTGCAAGAAATCCATAGCAACCCTTGCCGTATGAGGGCAGGCATTGTCCTGTTGGAATGTTAACCCAGGGCCATGACGTTGCAGAAAAGGAATTGCCACAGGTCGAAGAATCTGATCCCTGTAGCCCACACCAGTTAAGTTGCCCTGAACAATCACCAAAGGAGTTCTTTGGCGTGCTGTTATTCCATCCCAAATCATCACGGAACCACCACCAAAGCCATTCCTCTCCAAGACACAGGCCTGTGCATAACGTTCTCCCGCGCGTCTATAGGCACGTTGACGTCCATCACTATGGGAAATGTTAAACCTAGACTCATCTGTAAAAACAACATTTCTCCACCAAAACAAGGGTCTGCGGACATGATTTCGGCCCCACATTCGGCGAGCTTGTCGATGACGTTGTGTCAGGATTGGCCGTATGGCGGGACGTCGTGGTCTGATCCCGTGATGACGTAAACGTTGTCGAACTGTGTTGGGGTGGAAACGGCGAAGTCCTGGGATGGTTCGGGCAGTCATCACTGCAGTCTGAAACCTGTGGCGAAGATAGGTCACCCTTATCCATCTGTCCTGTCTTGGCGTTGTTACACGTGGGCGTCCAGAACGTGGCCGATCGATGACGTCATTTGTGTTCTGGTAGCGTCTCACCAGTGCAGAAATGGTGTTCCGGTGGCAGTAGAAATGTGCAGCCACTTGTCGTTGAGACATTCCCCCCACGGACCATCCCAATGGCCTCATGACGTTGTGCAGACGTGAGCCTTGGCATGCTATGCGTTTCAATAGCGGTTTAATTTTTTGAACGATCGCATGTTTCGGTGGCGTTGTTTTCCAAATGGGCGATGACGGCTCGAGAACGGTGAGGTCTGGCGTTGTCATCCTTTAATATAGGACGGCTGGCAAAGGAATGGTTATCATTATATGACACGGCGGCGGTATCGAGTACTTCCTGTTGAGAACGTTGACCACTGAGTGTGCCAGGCACTGAATAAGATCCAGCTTGCAGTCATGCAAAACGCCACCGCATATCATCTTGAGCCACCAACAAAGGGCTCAGCTGCATGGCCCATCCCCTGGTGTTATGCTTCGTTACGGCATCACCATACACGACGACGTCTGTCGTTAACGTGAAGAAAACGGCGACTTTTATCAGACCAATGGCCTCAAGTTGCAGTTGACCCAGGGACGTGTTATCCGACGACACGGCCTCAGACCGGCCTACAGCTATCTTCTGCTGGTATCGGTAGAGAGTCGGGCTTTCGCTCTCCATTGCTGGCGCAGTTCTTTGGCATGGGTCATTGGACTGTATTGTGCCTGACGAATTAGGACTGGGTCATCACTGGTCATCTAATATCCATGCGGGTAATGTTCAAGTTAGCACCGCTGTTGCGACAGGACATCCTTGCGTCATACATGTCCATAACTTGTATTTACTGGAAATCTACGCGGTACCATTGCATGAAAGGTTTTTGTACTGTTGTCCTTTAAATCCGGTCACACATATTTAATACAGTATACTGTTATAAATCTATGATAACCCAATGTGCTTGGCGTCCTCGCACCACGAGAACATGTGACCCGGAACTTTTGAGCTATTGTGTCCAGCATGTGCTTTACTTGTTTATTCCAATATGCAAGGTTAGCATTGCCTGTTTGGCCCATACTTTTATAACTTTTGTCATTATGCTTATGCGGGTATGTCCAGGTGTGAGATTTGGACAAAGTGTTTTGATGACATACCACATTTCCCCACATCAAGCTGGCCTGTTTACATCGGGTAGAAGCAAGCTAACATAAATAGTAATAACTAAGAGCCCTAAAACACGCACTTGTCTGCAAGGATCAAAGTTTTTATTATTTAGAAATTTTGAGAACTGGTGTAGGGGGTTGGAGGAAGGAAGGGGGTTCTTCCAGCAGCTTTCAAGCACCGACCAAAATATCAATCCGTTCTGTGACAAATATCAGTTTCCTACCCCTGGAACTACCCCCTCCCGCCTTCCTCGCCAGACACATTAGCAGATACTCAGTCCCTCGGTGTCTTAAAAACTCACTAGAATATATATCCCATTCGTAATTTGGAACTGGTATGTTTTCAAACTCATTCATGTATATTTACATACTGTCTCACTATTTATATTCATCGCTGATTTCGACTACAAAGATTGCTTGTTTAAAGTAATTGTATTCGTTGCATGAATGCAGAGCCTAAATAGAAGGAACGATAATCCGTTTCACATGGACGGTCTGCGATTTTGTATGCATTGCAAACATTTTGGCTTCTTTTTGTTAAGCAATCTAAAGGATATATCGCCTTTGACTGAACTTATTAATGTTTAATAGAAACAATAACGTGTCTTTAGTAGCAGCCCATTCAGGCGCTACAGATCATGAGGTAATTTTGTTTGGATGCAGATCCCTCGACACAACCTGGAGGATGACGCTTGCCTAACATACATTTCTGTCTTTCTGTAAAGACGTTTGACTGAGAGATGTACACTGGGGCTGCTTGAAACTTTCATGAGCGTGATTGTCAGTCAGTCCTGAGCCCAACCTGTTCCTGCGTGAAATCACTTAGATGTTCACATGGGTCTTCTGGAAAAAAAACCCCGTTTCTTGCAGATACACCCAAGGGGCACATACATACAACGAATAAAGTAGACCCTTTATAGTATCTAGAAGAAGTATAGAAGACATTGCATACGTGGGAATAGTACTCGAAATGCGAAAGCCTATGCAGAATACTCTTTCAAATCAGATAACTATCCTACAACCTAGGTATTCAAATGAACTGCTTTAATATGTAACGCTGTAGATTTGACAGAATTGTTCCTCTCACGTATTTGGTTTCGTTTGTATGTTGTTTAACGCCGCAGACATCAATATTCCAGCTACTGGCCGCGGTCTGTCAATAATGGAGTCCAAGATCAATTCTAACCCGGGTCTCTTCTCATGTGTCTTTATGTCTAGTTTTCTATGTTTATTGAACAACGTGGAACAGTACGTCCTGAACACAACAAAGAAACTACAGATAAGTGAGAAGACATATGCAATGACGTTGTCCTGTTGTCCTGTAAACCAAATTCAGAACGAAACCAACTGAACGAAGCCCCCCGACCCCACTTTCTCAAGAGTGTGCACCACCCTTCTCAAAAGCTGTTTCCGCCCCTGTACTGCATCCGTACCTTACAAACCAGCACACGCCCCACCCCCCCAAAAAACCCCAACTGAAACGCGCTTTCGGAATCTGATTAAAAAAAGCCGTTTTTGAGAATTTACATAGTATTTATCCCATTTGTTTCAGAAACTCTGTGAATGTAAAGAAAGCACCTAGTTCATGATGTTAAGGGTTATTGTTAATATCATGCTCTGTTTCGTATTTAGAAAGTGGTGAAGAAGAAAGGTGAGCCATACAGTAACTGTGTCCGTGGAGGGAAGATCGCTTACAAGGGGAAGTACTCTGTTGAGGTAAGTACTTGTGCTATCCACTAACAAAAGGGGATTAGAAACTGTGGTGGAGCACTTTCAGGGACACTTATGTCTGTTTACATTTCCACCATGTCTGACTAGCCATGAGGAGTTTGCAGTCATAGAGAATTTAAATGATATTTTGACATTTTGATCTCATCTAAAAAGAATTTCCCATATGTCGATTATATTCCGTACTATACAAATAGAAATATATCCATATAGAAATAGTATATTAGATGAATAAGGTAAATGCAAATTTTTAAAAGATATAAGAAAAATATGAAACATGGTTTTCCCGAAGACATTTTCCTGACAGAATGGCCTCGAAAACCTTTCCCCATTAAATACATATTTGAATATAAGGAAGAGAAGGGAGGACCTGACGAAGGCTGAACCTTCCTAGCCTCATTTCGAGGGTGGAATGGTTTGCAAGATGTGTGGATATACTGGCCTCTCTATTACTTCCTTGGGGAAGAGCTGTCCAGAAAGGATGTTTCGGCATTTTGTTCTTGATAATGTTTTGTTCTGTTAAGTATGGTGTGGCATGTTCCGAAAGCTCTTCAACTAGTATGGCTTTTATACACCAGAGCCAATATATTTGGAACCTAAAATTAATTGATTGTTGATAAGCAAATCTGGGGGCCTCAACAACTGACAACTGCTCAAAGTTATTGGTGTGCGGAATGCTGTCATGTCATTCAGTTCTATTGCAAGAGATGTTGATTGTCATCTGTCGACTATCAGCCGACTGGTAAGGAAAGACCAGCATCCTATTAACGTTGGTGACAGTAGCGTTCACACCGTTTGTCCAACAGATGGCCTAAACTCGGCCGGGTATAGACCTATCTAACGCCCGTTGTTTTCCCGAGAGAACATAGCAGCACGAATTCACAATGTCGTTTAGAAAGTGGCCAAATGTAACATATGTTATATTTGGGAGTACACTGTCTTAGTAAAGTACTGATTCTGGTACTTTTGTTGTGTTCAGTCCCATCCGGGACTAGTTTGGTGTCAAGCTCGACGTCACTGAAGTTGCATGTCATGGAGAAGGCACCAAATCGGCCCAAAGTCAATTTCTTTTGTTCATTTATTGTGTCTGGCGCAACTGACAGAAGCACTGCATGCCCACAACGGAATGCCTCGGAGCAATAACCGTTTGGCTGGGGTCAATTGATTTTGCGGGGACATCTCTCACATGACTGTAAACGTAACCTTGTGGCGATTAAACCAAATCTGAATGGACAATTTTTAAGGGTATATTATTGACTTCCTAGATTGGGTTCTTGTATCACATTCTTTGAACACAAGGCCAGTGTTTATGGACGACAATGCTTGGCCACATAGTGCTCGTGCCGGTGGAGATTTCTTACGTAATGAGCAACTCTACCTTGGCCCACCAGGGGCTCCTTTCACGAAGCAACCATTAAAGAATGGGTGTTAAGGTTAACCTTAGTAAAGGTTGCTTCGTGAAAGAAGCCCCAGATCTCAATCCCACATAGCATGTTTGGGACTTTATTGGTCGCAAAATAGGCCAGATAGATCTTCCAGTACAAAACCGTGATGTATTGTAAAAGCCGCTCCTCAAGAAGGGAACGCAATACTTCAACGTAAAATTCGGCATTTGATACAGTCAGCGAGGAGGAGGCTCGGAGATGTTGTTGTAGTTGGGAGATGTTACACCAGATAACTATGTGATATGTGAGGATTGTATACCAAAATCTTGAAAATAACTGCATTTCATACGACCATAGCTATCGGCATTACAAAATGATTTTTTTTGGCCATGTTTTGTTTCTATGAATAAACTACATTTGTCGTTGTTTTACCACATGATTTTTCTATGAGGGTCAATGTATCCAGACCCGTGAAGATCCGGGGTAGAATAGGTCTTCAGCAACCCATGCTTGCCACAAAAGGCGACTGTGCTTGTCGTAAAAGGCGACTAACGGGATCGGGTGGTCAGGCTCGCTGACTTGGTTGACACATGTCATCGGTTCCCAATTGCGCAGATCGATGCTCATGTTGTTGATCACTGGATTGTCTGCTCCAGACTCGATTATTTACAGACCGCCGCCATACAGCTGGAATATTGCTGAGTGCGGTGTAAAACTAAACTCACTCACTCACTCAAGGTATCAAGATAATAACGGATGGTTTGGTAAAGTTCCTGTGCTATGGTTATTGTTCTACAGGGATGTCGGAAGACGTGTCTCCAGACTTCTATTGTGAAAGGCTGCAACTGTACCGACACCCGGTTTTCAAACGCAGATGCTTACGACGGTCGGCCATGTGACAACGACCAGGACTGTGAGTTGTACCGATGAAACTTTTCCGATTACTCTGATTACATTGCGATCCTTGCCAGCTTCACCTATTCCGACTGTGGCTGGCCATCTGTATACGATGTCAGTCTATTCCAGTGTCTGCATTGCAACCGTGCAGGGGTTAGAGCGTCCGCCGCGAGAGCGGAAGGTCGCGGGTTCGATCCCCGGCCGCATCATACTAAAATATGTTAAAATATGGTACTTTTTGTTCCCTGCCTGGCGCTCAACATTAATGGGTAAATCAAGGACCGGTCGGCTCGGAGTCGGTATAATGTGTTTGAGTGGGGTATCCATGCTTAACTGCGGCATGGTATCTCCTATAAAACCAGCTTAAGTCTGGGATAGTACAAGCAGCCACACATACACACGCACGCACGTCGTCATATGAGTGAAATGATCATAAGTACGACGTGAAACCCCATTTCACCTCAGTTCACTCAGTGTCTGCATTGTGTTCCTCTGGCATTAACCTTGATTTCGTCAAGAGGCATCAGAGTAGCGTTACGTGCTGATTCCCAAGTTGTAGAATTCCATATATAGTGCACCACTACCCTCTACTTTCTCTACAGATACAATGTATAACAGTTGAGACATTGTTTCCCAACGTATAACCCTGCCTCATAGCAGTAGTCAGTACAATCGCTTCTCCTCCGTTGTGTACCCGGCATTCTTGTTATATATTTTTCTATCGTTATAAGTTTTGGTTAAAATCCAATTTTCCAATTTTCCATGTTTATGTTCCCAATTTCATTCATACTCTCACTCTTCCTATAATTATGTTTTTAATAACACATGTGTTATCAGTTTAAAAAAATCAGTCTCGGGTAAATGTTATTTGTTTACATGATAAAAACTTCATCTAAGTATTATTAGGACTATTATTTGAGAATAATATCTTGTCATACATGATATATTGAGGCAATGAAGTTAAAGGAGTATGAACATGTGTCTTTATCATATATCTGAGAACATGTGACGATTTCGGATGTGCGAATACAATGTGTCTTTATGAGAAATGCGAATACAATGTGTCTTTGTGAGAAATGCGAATACAATGTGTCTTATGAGAAATGCGAATAGCATGTCTTAGAAGAAATGCGAATACAATGTGTCTTCTGACAAATGCGAATAACATGTGTCTTATGAAAAATGCGAATACAATGTCTTTATGAGAATGCGAATACAATGTGTCATTATGAGAATGCGAATAACATGTGTCTTTATGAAAAAATGCGAATACAATGTGTCTTCATGAGAATGCGAATACTATGTGTCTTTATGAGAATGCGAATACAATATGTCTTTCTGAGAATGCGAATAACATGTCTATGAAAAATGCGAATACAATGAATCTTATGAAAAATGCGAATACAGTGTCTTTATGAGAAATGCGAATACAATGTGTCTTTATGAGAAATGCGAATAATATGTGTTTTTATGATAAATGCGAATACATTGTGTGTTTGTGAGAAATGCTTATACCATGTGTCTTTATGAGAAATGTGACTAATGTTTTCCTTATCAGATAAGTGCATCAACGACGTGTACCACAACTATGCCAGGGATGGCGACAAATGTGACTGCCCACCGCCATGCGAGTAAGTACTAGTCGTCGCACAGCCAAACAGTTGTAAGACATTATACAACAGACCAGGAGAAAGTGAGATTAGTTTAATGCCACTTCGAAATATATTTCAGTTAAATCACGATGGTTCAGCTTCAAGGGAGTCTTAAGTGATGCAGGTGGTAGATATGTACCCCTTCTGTGAAATACACGATCCCATGTATGGAGCTGACGGAGCTTCAGAAACACGGTCCAGGTGTATGTTTGATTCCTGATACTTGGAATGCTGTACCCTTCATTAAACAACGTATAAGGTGTAGTTGTATGAAACGCTTTGAAATCTTGTAGAAAGAGCGCGCTCGATTGTACCTCAAACGTTGTGAAGGACTTCGTCAAATTTGTGACTAAAATTCTGTCCCGAATTTTGTGTCTCTAGTTTGACCCTTGTTACACATTCAGTGGGTTGTTTTCAAGAAAATACATGACTTCTCTTGTGTTTCTGACGGATGCCATCGTCAGCAGGATGATCATGTTTCCGCGAACTCTTTCTGGTATTGTATACACATCCTCATGATACAATCGAAATTATACAATCGACTTTTTGCTATGGAAAAGGTTTGTCTCTTTCATGTTCTGTGGAATAATTTTCAGTCTGTAGGGTGATTTCTTCGGTTTGTCGACAGGAAAACTATGTCATAATGGTTTAATTAAAGATTGTTCTCTTGTTTTTCAGATTGAATATATACCAGCAAACTATATCTACTGCTGACTTTCCGTCATTTGCCAGTCGGGTAACATATTCATGATCATTTTTAAATTCCTTATTATGACTTATGCCCCTATTCCACACAGACCACGAATCCCAGGAATCGTCACGTATTGATAAATTTGAGGATTCAAGCGGATTCGAAGAATTGTGCAAATTTTCTGGTTCAATTCGGGACGCACTGTGATTCAGTTACGATACAGGTACGATAGAGGTACGAACATTCGTGGATTCGGCTGGAATCGCACGAATATTGTCAAGAAGTCACTACGATTTACAAGAATCTATTACGAATACTTCCCGAAGGTTAGGAATCACTTACGAATCAGTTAAGAATATGCCGAATGCACGTACGAATCAGGTACGAAAAAATGAATTCGTGACTATTCTTGACAATTCGTGGGACATAGGTATAAAATGGTCGTAGACCCTGTTTGGGTAACAGTTCCAAAACGGATGTTCAACGTAGAGCACCTGTAGTATTTGCCCTTGAGCTGGAGTATCAACACCAGCTGCAGATTGCTAGAAGCAGACTGCTTCGAAGGAGGAGAATAGAGCACCCAGGTGATGGGTTAGACCGTGGCTGACACCAGGTAGAATGCAAGAGTATGGTCACTACAACAGACTGATGCAGGAGCTGAAGATGGAAGATGAAAATGCCAATTATGTGAGAATGCCATCCCACATGTTTGATGAGCTACTCAACAGGATTGCTCATGTCATCCAGAGGAGGAGGAGGGACACCCACATGAAACCAGCCCTTGATGCCGGAATGAAGCTAGCCATGACCCTCAGACACCTGGCTACAGGAGACTGGTATCACATCATCCAGTATGACTTCCGATGTGGCTACAGCGCAGTGGTATGGACTGTGTAGGAAGTCTGTCAGGCCATCATACAGGAGCTGAATGATGACGTCATGCCACTGCCAAGGACCAAGGAGGACTGGAAGGCCATTGCCCAGCAGTCCCAGCTCCTCGTGCCCTTGGGGTCTTGGATGGCAAGTACATGGTCATCAGGAAACCACACAACTGTTGGCCCTGGTGGATGCGGACTATAAGTTTATCTGGATAGACACTGGTGAAGGTGAGAAGGTCACCAATCCGACGCACAGTTGTTTGGTGCTTCAGAACTGAAAGAGTGCATTGATGACAACACCATAAACTTCCCTGACAGCAATCCCCTACCCAATGATGACGGAGACACACCCTACTACAATTTGGGGGATGATGCTTTTCCACTGAGGACTTTCCTCATAAAACCATATGGCAGGAGGGGCCTTGACAACAGATTATCCAGGGGCAGACGTGTGGTGGAGAATGCTTTCGGAATTGTGGCCAACAGATGGAAATGCTTCCTGGGCACCCTGGAACAAGGACCTGATGTGGTGCGGTTACTGGTGGAGGCAGGAGTCATCCTCCACAACTTATTGAGGATCAGGTTCCCTGTCACTGGAAATGCAGAAGCGGACCGGGAGGATGAAGACCACAACAACATTTCTGGAGGGCAAGAAATACTAGCAGGAGGGAATGTTAACTGAATGATAACTGTTGATATTTCATGTTCAAATGTTTTACTATTTATGTTCATAGTGTTTATTAATGTTCGTTAGCGCTAATAAAATGTTCCGTTTATTAAAACAAGAGGCCCAAGAGGGCTTGTACCGCTTTACTGACTCCTGGCACAACATCTCCCTAGAACAACATGTTACAATTTCTGCTTTTTTTCAATCTTCACATTGCCCAAATCCATTTGTCAAAATTTCTGCTCGGACCGAGCAGTGGTAAAGGAAACGAAAACCAAAACAAACTTTGGACTTTTTTCTTTTTTTTTATCCTGCCGTTTTATTGGTATTGTATAAAACTGAAAGACAGAAATACTTAGCTAAGTACATTCTTGCTGATTATGGATACGTGGCACAATCGTCAGCAGCTAATGACCTGAAGTCAATATTAAACTCCTTATATACCCAATTCGACGGCAATCGTAGCTGATTCTAAGATAGTTCTTACTTGCTTCGTACCTGTTTCGGCCTGTACTTGTGGGATTCGTGACAGATTCGTAGCCGATTCGTGGTCAAGCCACGAATTGACGAAATCTACGAATGAGTTAAGGATACCTACGATTCGATTACGATGAATAAGAATGCACAACGAATTTGTTACGAATTAACTACGATTATTTTATCGGGAGTTCTTGTCCAAAATTTTGAACAGTTCAAAACTTTTGCCACGAATTCCCGATTGCTCAAGAATTGCAAGAACTGACTACGACTATATTACGAATTAGTTAAGAACTTCACGAACTGATTACGATTCAACTACGAATCCTCGTATTTGTCAATTCATGGCGATTCGTGCGATTCGTGGTCTGTGTGGAATAGGGGCAATAGGTGTCATCATCTTTGACTGAGTAAAGGAGATAAACATATTGCGGTGTCTATTGCCCAGACCTACAGTTGCCATGGTGATCCCTGTGACATTCTGCATGTGCGTTTCCCTCTGCCCATATTACCGTGTGGCTTGATAAGAATGAAACCTACAATTTTCGTGTTCATTTCATGAAAATTTCTAATTACTTTCTGTTTGTAGGATGAACTTCAGAGGCTGATATCCAATAGGACCGATCGGTTGTCGGAGATACTTAACACAAAAGAGAACATCAGGTTTGTAATACCAGATACCATCACTCTGGGCAGCGTTGTTACACCTGTAGCAGGTACTACTTCAGTTAACACCTGGCTTCTACACCTGTAGCAGGTACTACCTCAGTTAACACCTGGCTTCTACACCTGTAGCAGGTACTACCTCAGTTAACACCTGGCTTCTACACCTGTAGCAGGTACTACCTCAGTTAACACCTGGCTTCTACACCTGTAGCAGGCACTACCTCAGTTAACACCTGGCTTCTACACCTGTAGCAGGTACTACCTCAGTCAACAACTGGCTCCTACACCCGTAGTCTGAAATACTGTCAGAATGGTGGCATTATAAACGACGATGTATGAAAGAATAGAACAGGGACCTTTTGTTTAACCGAGGCGACATGTGTGTATCCCACTGTGTTCGACTTACAACAGGATCCTTCTGTAGGTGTATCCATACCCTGCTTAATGTAACCCACTGTGTTCGACCTACAACATGATCCTTCTGTAGGTGTATCCATACCCTGCTTAATGTATCCCACTGTGTTCGACTTACATGACATGATCCTTCTGTAGGTGTATCCATACCCTGCTTAATGTAACCCACTGTGTTCGACTTACAACATGATGATCCTTCTGTAGGTGTATCCATACCCTGCTTAATGTAACCCACTGTGTTCGACTTACAACATGATCCTTCTGTAGGTGTATCCATACCCTGCTTAATGTATCCCACTGTGTTCGACTTACAACAGGATCCTTCTGTAGGTGTATCCATACCCTGCTTAATGTATCCCACTGTGTTCGACTTACAACATGATCCTTCTGTAGGTGTATCCATACCCTGCTTAATGTATCCCACTGTGTTCGACTTACAACAGGATCCTTCTGTAGGTGTATCTGTAGGTGTATCCATACCCTGTTAATGTATCCCACTGTGTTCGACTTACAGCATCCCACTGTGTTCGACTTACAACATGATCCTTCTGTAGGTGTATCCATACCCTGCTTAATGTATCCCACTGTGTTCGACTTACAACATGATCCTTCTGTAGGTGTATCCATACCCTGCTTAATGTATCCATACTGTGTTCGTGTTCGACTTACAACATGATCCTTCTGTAGGATCCATACCCTGCTTAATGTATCCACTGTGTTCGACTTACAAACATGATCATGATCCTTCTGTAGTATCCATACCCTGCTTAATGTATCCCACTGTGTTCGACTTACAACATGATCCTTCTGTAGTTGTATCCATACCCTGCTTAATGTATCCCACTGTGTTCGACTTACAACATGATCCTTCTGTAGTTGTATCCATACCCTGCTTAATGTATCCCACTGTGTTCGACTTACAACATGATCCTTCTGTAGTTGTATCCATACCCTGCTTAATGTATCCCACTGTGTTCGACTTACAACATGATCCTTCTGTAGGTGTATCCATACCCTGCTTAATGTATCCCACTGTGTTCGACTTACCTCCTTCTGTAGGTGTATCCATACCCTGCTTAATGTATCCCACTGTGTTCGACTTACAACATGATCCTTCTGTAGGTGTATCCATACCCTGCTTAATGTATCCCACTGTGTTCGACTTACAACATGATCCTTCTGTAGGTGTATCCATACCCTGCTTAATGTATCCCACTGTGTTCGACTTACAGCAGGAACCTCCTGCAGGTGCAGGTGTTCTACGAGACCCTCCAGTATGAGAAGATCACAGAGACCCAGGCTTACGCTGTGAGTGACATAAAATGCGGATCATCACGATGTTTCAAAGATAATTTCGTTTGTGGGGATTCCAGGGAATACAATTCCCTGCTATTTCCTGATTGTCGTGAGCCCTGACTACCAATGAGAATATCCGGGTGGTTGGGGGTGAACTGAATCATACCTGTCATCGTATCAAGATGATTTGGTGAGTGAGTTGTGTTTAACGCCACCTTGAACAATACTGCTGTTATAACACAGCCCGAAGTGATGCAGGTGGCAGCGTTTACCACAGACACGGGTAGGGTAGTACCAAACATAATAGGGCGATATAGCCTTAGGGAATACATGGCAAGCTCGACTTCCTTGTGCGCTATGGTAGCGTTTACCACAGACACAGGTAGGGTGGTACCAAACATAATAGGGCGATATAGCCTTAGTGAATATATGGCAAGCTCGACTTCCTTGTGCGCTGTGGCAGCGTTTACCACAGACACCGGTAGGGTGGTACCAAACATAATAGGGGCGATATAGTCTTAGGGAATATATGGCAAGCTCGACTTCCTTGTGCGCTGTGGCAGCGTTTACCACAGACACCGGTAGGGTGGTACCAAACATAATAGGGGCGATATAGTCTTAGGGAATATATGGCAAGCTCGACTTCCTTGTGCGCTGTGGCAGCGTTTACCACAGACACCGGTAGGGTGGTACCAAACATAATAGGGCGATATAGCCTTAGTGAATATATGGCAAGCTCGACTTCCTTGTGCGCTGTGGCAGCGTTTACCACAGACACGGTAGGGTGGTACCAAACATAATAGGGGCGATATAGCCTTAGGGAATATATGGCAAGCTCGAGTTCCTTGTGCGCTGTGGCAGCGTTTACCACAGACACCGGTAGGGTGGTACCAAACATAATAGGGGCGATATAGTCTTAGGGAATATATGGCAAGCTCGACTTCCTTGTGCGCTGTGGCAGCGTTTACCACAGACACCGGTAGGGTGGTACCAAACATAATAGGGGCGATATAGCCTTAGGGAATATATGGCAAGCTCGACTTCCTTGTGCGCTGTAGCAGCGTTTACCACAGACACAGGTAGGGTGGTACCAAACATAATAGGGCGATATAGCCTTAGGGAATATATGGCAAGCTCGACTTCCTTGTGCGCTGTGGCAGCGTTTACCACAGACACCGGTAGGGTGGTACCAAACATAATAGGGGCGATATAGCCTTAGGGAATATATGACAAGCTCGACTTCCTTGTGCGCTGTGGCAGCGTTTACCACAGACACAGGTAGGGTGGTACCAAACATAATAGGGGCGATATAGCCTTAGGGAATATATGGCAAGCTCGAGTTCCTTGTGCGCTGTGGCAGCGTTTACCACAGACACGGGTAGGGTAGTACCAAACATAATAGGGGCGATATAGCCTTAGTGAATATATGGCAAGCTCGAGTTCCTTGTGGCGCTGTGGCTCCGAAACACAGCCGTTGAGATCGAGTGACACGCACTTTCATGTCATATTCTGTGTTTTTATAAGAAGCCATTCCCTGGTCCTCAACTTGTGTTTTGTATTTCCAGTTTGAGAACCTGTTGGCGGACATCGGAGGCCAGGCCGGATTGTTTGTCGGCTGCTCTGTGATTACTCTTGTGGAAGTTGTGGAGTTCCTGGGCAACATGATGCTGCTCCTTATCGTCAAGGTTGTCTCCAGAGAGCGACCACATTCATCGGGGAATGTCATCAAAGTCGCACCGGCTGAGTAAGCTTCTCAGAACAACGGTGTGATATCAGATACTGTTTGCGCTTCTTTAGATTGGACACAGGCCAGTTAGTGTAAATAGAATTATTAATTTTTGTTTTGTCCTTTCGTCCTAATGCATTGTAGAACAGACTACCATCGCTGTCAATATCAAGTGTATTATATCGCCCATCTATTGTCATATACGTAGGGGCCTCATTGGCCATCCTAGCTTCTGAATTAATGCCACCAGCTATATCTCTCATCACTAACTTGGCACATCAATCATAAAATCCTGATTGGCATTAAGAAGTGAAACATGTATAGATGGCAACGTCATGGACGTCAACTTCGGTATTACGGCACGGCACGGCACGGCACGACTAAACACGACACGATTAAACACGACTAGACACGGGGCCCACCTACCTGTATGCTCGCTAATAGAATCGACCGATGGGGATCGGATGGATAATCCAGTTCATTGCACGCTCATGCGTTGAACTAATGCTGGGAACCCCAGCTGTGATATTGCCGGACCATTCCCAAGGCTATTCGCACATCAAGGTTCATAATATTAAAAGATTTTCAGTTTCCAATTTTGAAATTTTCAAATTTTTTGCATCATCATACATAAGTGCTCACATCATCTCTTTATATTTATCATGCTTTTTTTGCACTTCTTTTTGTTTTCATCCAGTTTTCTGCAAAAAAAACAATATAGTTGTCAACTGTTTTCCCTTCCAATGAATATGACACGTTCATGTCAGCTGCATACGTGTATGTGATAAGTACTGTTACAAAAGTATGCTCGGAAATAACTTAGGGTTTCCCAAACTGTCAGATATTAGTTTCCAGAAATACTTGTACGACATTAATGAATTAGGGAACATAATAGGTATTGAAGTTCGACAATAGACGGACAAGGGGTGATAGGGGTAAGATAGGAAGCTTCAAAACTGGCGTGTTTAGATCTGTAGTGCGTGATACCGCCACGATTGGTCAAATATTCAATCACTCGAGGAGGCATGATATGTATGTGAATGGCATTTGAGGGAGACTGTCACGCGCCTCTTGCAACGCCTGCCAAGTTCAACCAACGTCGTCAGCGGCCTCTGACGTTGAGGCACACGTCCAACTATCATGTCCAGGGTGTGTTCAGCTGGAGTAAGATCTGGCTAGCTATTCTCGAAACGTTCGTTGCATTGCGAACTTCTTACGCCCATTCTTAACACATTGGCTCCGATCAAAGTTAAGAATTCTTAGGGCTACGAAAGTTTCGAGAATAATGGCCCAGGTCTCATTGCTGATCGTGGCATTTTAAGGTGTTGTGCTGCGGGAGGGGAACATTAATAAATTGTGCACCGTGAGCATGTACGTTAGATCTCAGGTTGGTTTGACGTTCATTTTCGCGTCATCAGACACGGCCACGCCTATCAAGAAAGTGTAAAGTGTATGGGAATAATGAATAATAATAAGAATAAATTTATCATGTGCATCATGTCCATTTATTGCTCCATGCTCCATGCTCCATGCTCCATGCTCCATGCTCCATGCACAATGCATGCTCGAAGCACCCAAACGATCTTATTATTATTACCCCGGATAGCCAAACTACCAGTAAAGCGGGTTATAGTCACATGATGTTATCCCACTGGGTAGCCATTTTCTGCTGGGTGAACAGAGGTAATTTTGAACAAACTCACTTGATGAAGGTGAGACCACATGTATTACATGTGTTTCTTTGAGGGGCAGGACTGAAGTCCTGGAAACTCTCAGGAGTCAACCTGCCAAACACGGTCACCTCTCCGCGCCCAACGTTGCTTAACGTAAACGGGCGGTGGGGTAGCCTAATGGTTAAAGCGTCCGCTCGACATGCTGAAGACCCGGGTTCTATTCCCCACATGGGTGCAATGTGTGAAGCCCATTTCTGGTGTTCCCCGCCGTGATATTGCTGGAATATTGCTAAAAGCGGCGTAAAACCATACTCACTCACTCACTCAACGTAACCTGATTTGTGACCTGAAGTCTATACACAGGGCCTCGTGCCACCACTCATCTGCACACCGTGCAACATAGCCATCTGTAAAGGGCGGCACGACACTTGGATGTTGAACATGGAAATGAGCTGCTTGTAGACGACATCTAACCGTCTTACCTGTTACTCTTACTCCAGTAGCCTCACTGAAAGTTTCGATGTGTGATCTATGATCAGGGATCGCCAACAGTTTTTCGTTTGCTGGTACTTGTTTCATTGTTAATGTACAAACTGTGAAACACTGAAGGTATCGGTTGTCTGCCAATTCCCAACAATGACAGGTAGACCTCTCGCACATCCAGACCACATTATATATTCTCGTGTTAACGTTATTGTTCAGGATGTGTTTCGCTAAGATTTATATTACTTGGCATTAACCTGGCATTAACATGTATATTTCATTATCCTGCATATTATTCTTAAAAGTGTATATATTCATGGAACAGTAAAATAAAGAATTGAAGTGGAATGTCAGTGTTTACGTAGTTAGATGTGTTTTTCATACAACACTATATATGCGTTGGCGGTGAACTGCATAAAAATGACACGAGATAGATTCGACTGTATCCATAATGTATGTCGAACCCTTCGTTGTGGGAGATTACAGGTATTAAATATAGCGTTAAGACTACATGTAAGACAGTTCTGCATTGAAAACACAGCCCGCAAACATTTCCTAAATACATTAGTTTTCCATATATTTGAAAGAACTTCAACAAAGAGACTTTTGCTCATAATCTCCACCATGTGCCAACATCTACAGACTTACAGTGTATTTGCTGAGAAACCGAATAAAAGAACTATCTTCATATACATACGTATGATTATATACAATAAAATGATTTTTATTTTTATCTTTTGACGAATCTCCCGTGAAGATTCGGATTCTTCTCTCAAGAACCCCACTTCACTCCACTGAGCTCTAACAAAATGTGCGAGAAACGACCATTTGAACATTTGATATTAAAGCTGTGGCAGACGTAACATTCATACTCTGTAATGCGAATCATCTGTTTTCAATCAGATATGCGTTATCTAACTTTGAAACCTCTGACCATATGTTTTTCGATAGTCGCGATTAAACGCATCATGTTAGATCTAACAATTCTTCATTTCGTATGGGTGACCCAAATGAAAGCATACTTGTCAATAACCAATTCATGATCATAAAAAAAAATACATTAAATAAATTACAAATGTAAATGCATGCTTAAATTTTAACCATCTCCTAAAATTATAACGCTTCATTATAATGTTGGAAAGTATATATTTGGTAAAGATAATGAATGTTTTGAGAAAATGGGTTGGTTGTTTGACAGTTTAAACATGTATTCATCTGTTTGTCTTCTCTTTAACTTTTTACCCCCATTTCTCTCTCTCTTGTTGCTTTTTTACATATAAAATAAAACGCATGATGGATGTGCCACATGATTATGCTAGTAATCACACACACACACACACACACACACACACACACTTATATATTTGTGTACAACCTTACTTTTGACAATGTGTAGACTCATTCTTATGTTGTGTGCCATTTTTTACTGATCTATCAATCGACATTTTGCACATATACCTTCAAACTGTGCGTGTATTTAGTAAGTCCGGATTTCATATATACAAGGTAAATAACATTGCTGTAAATGATAGGACAATTCTTTATGTGGCACAAAACTCTGATTCTTTCAAACTATTGCCGCTCCATCTCATTGGCTAAATAAGATAACCGCGCCATTGTATTTACAGATACCGGTATATCACTGTACTATAATACAACAAAGGCGTGGCCTTTGTTACATTTCTATGTATTGTCCTTGAATCCCAGAGCTACGTTAAGAGATTTCAATAAGTAATGCGTGGAAACATAGTGCTAGACCTCACTTAGTCCCACGGGGTTTCTTGGGCGCCCCTCGGACATGTCTCTTCCGATGTGGTAAGAAACAACATGTAAAAATTTATAAGATTTATTTAAGATCGATCTTCTTTTGATACAGTTCATCAATGATAAATGTAGCTTTCTATCTTTACAGCTTTAAACCACGGAACAAAGAATTTGCACAGAAACATTAACTTTCGATTCGTTGAACAAAATAGCGACCATACATCCCAGCAGAGTTCTTTAGACAATGAGGCACAGTGTGTCATGAATCTTTTCCACGCATCATCAATCGCCTCTAAGCATCACCAAGGGAGTTAAAAACGTCATCAATTGTTCCAATGCGTCATCAATTGTCCCCACGCATCATCATCATAGAAATGGTAGGTTCTTGACAGGTATTAAAGCGTTAGTAGAAAATGCAACTAAAGCTATGTTTGCCCTTTTGAAAAAAACCCCGAAATATAAACCTACCTATTGATTGTACCCTAAAAGCATTTGATACTATGATAAGTCCGACTCTCCTTCATGGTTGTGAAGTATGGGGATTTGAAAACCTGAACATTATAGAAAAGTACATCTCAGATTTGTCAAATTTGCTGTTGGTCTTCGAAGCTCCACTCCAAACTTTATGGTGTATGGCGACTTTGGCCGAGAACCGCTCTATATACATCAAATTATACAAACGTGTTATTTCTTTTTGGCATAAAGTAGCAACACATAACCAACACTGTAAACTCTCTTCACTGATGTATAACTTTATCTCTGTTAATAACTTTGGTTGTCAACTCCGATGGATATCTTTTGTTACAAGAATACTTAATACCTGCGATTTATCAGAGGTTTTCTCAAACCCCTACAATGTCACCACGTCATGGCTGGTCCTAAAAGTTGAAGCTACTCTAAAAGATCAGTTTTTACAACATTGGCGTAGCTCCATAGAAACTAGTTCTAAAGGTCAATTTTATAAATGTTTTAAATATAAACTATATTTTGAAAACTACTTATACTTACCCAGGGATATATATTTTCCTATATTAAAACTAAGAACTTGCAACAATAACCTACCAATTGAAAAAGGCCGATGGCATTCTATTCCAAAAGAGGAAAGAATATGTAAACTGTGTAACGCTAACGTTGTTGGAGATGAGTTTCACTATCTCTTTAGATGTGAAACCCTTCTCCAACAGCGAAATACCTATCTCGCGACACATATATGTGATCTCCAAAAACATTCAATGTTAAAGAAATTATTATGTAATAAAACTACTAAACATTTAAAGAACTTAAAGTCATTTCTGAATGTATTGTTTAAATCGCTTAATAAGTAATATTCAAATGATCATGTCCAGCCACTTGCCATGTATATATTTGTTTACCTATGTATTTATGTATTCTCATGTACCACCGTTGGTTGGTTGAGAAATAAACTTCTCTGTCTGGTACCCTCATGCGTCCTCAATTGTTCCGAATCATCATCAACCGCCCTTATCACTCGTCCCCATGTGCCATCACTTGTCCCTCATGTTCACCAATGGTCTCCATGCGTTATCACTTGTCCCTCATCTTCATCAGTCGTCTCCATGCGTTATCACTTATCCTGATCTTCATCAATGGTCTCCATGCGTCATCACTTGTCCCTGATCTTCATCAATCGTCTCCATGCGTCATCACTTGTCCCTGATCTTCATCAATCGTCTCCATGCGTCATCACTTGTCCTTCATTTGTGCCTCATCTTCATCAATCGTCTCCATAAGTCATCACTTGTCCCTCATCTTCATCAATCGTCTCCATGCGCCATCACTTGTCCCTCATCTTCATCAATCGTCTCCATAAGTCATCACTTGTCCCTCATCTTCATCAATCGTCTCCATAAGTCATCACTTGTCCCTCATCTTCATCAATCGTCTCCATGCGTCATCACTTGTCCCTCATCTTCATCAATCGTCTCCATAAGTCATCACTTGTCCCTCATCTCTATTCATCAATCGTCTCCATGCGCCATCACTTGTCCCTCATCTTCATCAATCGTCTCCATAAGTCATCACTTGTCCCTCATCTTCATCAATCGTCTCCATAAGTCATCACTTGTCCCTCATCTTCATCAATCGTCTCCATAAGTCATCACTTGTCCCTCATCTTCATCAATCGTCTCCATGCGCCATCACTTGTCCCTCATCTTCATCAATCGTCTCCATGCGCCATCACTTGTCCCTCATCTTCATCAATCGTCTCCATAAGTCATCACTTGTCCCTCATCTTCATCAATCGTCTCCATAAGTCATCACTTGTCCCTCATCTTCATCAATCGTCTCCATGCGTCATCATTTGTCCCTCATCTTCATCAATCGTCTCCATGCGTCATCACTTGTCCCTCATCTTCATCAATCGTCTCCATAAGTCATCACTTGTCCCTCATCTTCATCAATCGTCTCCATGCGCCATCACTTGTCCCTCATCTTCATCAATCGTCTCCATGCGCCATCACTTGTCCCTCATCTTCATCAATCGTCTCCATAAGCCATCACTTGTCCCTCATCTTCATCAATCGTCTCCATGCGCCATCACTTGTCCCTCATCTTCATCAATCGTCATCATAAGTCATCACTTGTCCCTCATCTTCATCAATCGTCCCCATAAGTCATCACTTGTCCCTCATCTTCATCAATCGTCTCCATAAGTCATCACTTGTCCCTCATCTTCATCAATCGTCTCCATGCGCCATCACTTGTCCCTCATCTTCATCAATCGTCTCCATGCGCCATCACTTGTCCCTCATCTTCATCAATCGTCTCTATAAGCCATCACTTGTCCCTCATCTTCATCAATCGTCTCCATGAGCCATCACTTGTCCCTCATCTTCATCAATCGTCATCATAAGTCATCACTTGTCCCTCATCTTCATCAATCGTCCCCATAAGTCATCACTTGTCCCTCATCTTCATCAATCGTCTCCATAAGTCATCACTTGTCCCTCATCTTCATCAATCGTCTCCATGCGCCATCACTTGTCCCTCATCTTCATCAATCGTCTCCATAAGTCATCACTTGTCCCTCATCTTCATCAATCGTCTCCATGCATCATCCCTCATCTTCATCTTGTCCCTCATCTTCATCAATCGTCCCCATAAGTCATCACTTGTCCCTCATCTTCATCAATCGTCTCCATGCGCCATCACTTGTCCCTCATCTTCATCAATCGTCTCCATGCGCCATCACTTGTCCCTCATCTTCATCAATCGTCCCCATGCGCCATCACTTGTCCCTCAGCTTCATCAATCGTCTCCATGCGCCATCACTTGTCCCTCATCTTCATCAATCGTCTCCATAAGTCATCACTTGTCCCTCATCTTCATCAATCGTCTCCATGAGCCATCACTTGTCCCCCATCTTCATCAATCCTCTCCATGCGTCATAAATCATTCCTTATCTTCATCAATCAATGGTCTCCTTGCGCCATCACTTGTCCCTCATCTTTATCAATGGTCTCCATGCGTCATAAATCATTCCTAATCTTCATCAATCGTCCTTATGCGTCATCACCGGTCACCATGCATCGTCAATCGTCACTTATCAACATCAATCGTCTCCATGCGCCATCAATCGTCCCTAAACATCTCCGATCTCCATGCTTCATCAAACTTCCTCAGTGCGTCCCTAAACATAATCAATCGTTCCTAATCATCATCATTTGTCTCCATGCGTCACCAACCGTCACCTATCATCATCAATGGTCTCCATGCGAGTCATCACACCATATGAGTCACCATACGTCGCCATGCATCGTCACTCGTCACTTATCATCATTAGTCACCAATCTTCTTCCATGCATCCCTAAACATAACCAATCGTCCCTAATCATCATTAATCGTTCCCATGGGTCATCAGTCTTCCCGATGCGTCATCAACTGATGCACTTATGATTATAATCGATTGTGTTGGAGACGGCAGACAAGTCCGAGAGCACCAGTATACTACTTTTGTACTAAAGTCATCACAAAAGAGATTTACAGAAGCGCCAGTAAAATAACCATGTTTCGCCACTTAACCAATCTGCATATTTTGGCTTGTGTATTTGAAACACGTGTTGGTATAGTAGTACCCTGGGGGCGTGACGTCAGGACGCTACTGGTGACATGATAAAGTAATTAAATCAGCATTTAATCTAGAAGCCTTCTGAATTGAGGCAAATCTGAGTGCAACTCACATGGTAGATACTCGTGATTTACACTCCTGTGGGGCACTATAATTCGCAGCCCAATCACGGGTTTCCTACTAGTAATGTTACAGGCCCTACTAGTAATGTTACATGCCCTACTAGTAATGTTACATGCCCCACTAGAAATGTTACATGAACTACTAGTAATGTAACATGACCTACTAGTAATGTTACAGGCCCTACTAGTAATGTTACAGGCCCTACTAGTAATGTTACATGCCCCACTAGTAATGTTACAGGCCCTACTAGTAATGTTACAGACCCTACTAGTAATGTTACATGCCCCACTAGTAATGTTACATGACCTACTAGTAATGTCACATGCCCTACTAGTAATGTTACAGGCCCTACTAGTAATGTTACATGCCCCACTAGTAATGTTACATGACCTACTAGTAATGTTACAGGCCCTACTAGTAATGTTACATGACCTACTAGTAATGTTACAGGCCCTACTAGTAATGTTACATGCCTTACTAGCAATGTTACAGGCCCTACTGGTAATGTTACAGGCCCTACTAGTAATGTTACAGGCCCTACTAGTAATGTTACATGCCCTACTAGTAATGTTACATGCCCCACTAGTAATGTTACAGGCCCTACTAGTAATGTTACATGCCCTACTAGTAATGTTACATGCCCTACTAGTAATGTTACAGGCCCCACTAGTAATGTTACAGGCCCTACTAGTAATGTTACAGGCCCTACTAGTAATGTTACATGCCCTACTAGTAATGTTACATGCCCTACTAGTAATGTTACAGGCCCCACTAGTAATGTTACATGCCCTACTAGTAATGTTACATGCCCTACTAGTAATGTTACATTTACCTACTAGTAATGTTATACTAGTAATGTTACATGCCCTACTAGTAATGTTACATGCCCTACAAGTAGTTGTTACATGCCCTACTAGTAATGTTACATGCCCTACTAGTAAAGTAATTACATTGCCCTACTAGTAATGTTACATGCCCCACTAGTAATGTTACATGCCCTACTAGTAATGTTACATGACCTACTAGTAATGTTACATGACCTACTAGTAATGTTACAGGCCCCTACTAGTAATGTTACAGGCCCTACTAGTAATGTTACATGACCTACTAGTAATGTTACAGGCCCTACTAGTAATGTTACATCTACACTAGTAATGTTTGTTACATGTTACATGGGCTCACTAGTAATGTTACATGCCCTACTAGTAATGTTACATGACCTACTAGTAATGTTACATGACCTACTAGTAATGTTACATGCCCTACTAGTAATGTTACAGGCCCCACTAGTAATGTTACATGACCTACTAGTAATGTTACAGGCCCTACTAGTAATGTTACATGACCTACTAGTAATGTTACATGACCTACTAGTAATGTTACATGCCCTACTAGTAATGTTACAGGCCCTACTAGTAATGTTACATGACCTACTA